GATGACAGTGATGAGGCTGTCACCTGGGGCACAGTCCCCTCCACTTTGCCCAGTGCTCTCTCTCTCTCTCCTGACAAGGAGCACAGATGCAAAGGGAGTTTTGGGCCCTAAAAGACGCTTTCAGCAACTTCTCCGCCAGCGCCCTCGCCGAGATCCGGACGCTCAGCTTCCACGGTGAGGGCGCTCCCCCGCCGGGAGGGCCGGGAGGGGGGCGGGGGGTAGTTGAGGCCCCCGCTTAGCAGCACAGGCTGGACTCCAAGGTGGGTGCCCGGTGCTGGGTCTGCAAAGGGGCGTGTCTGAGGTGTGTGGGCGGGTACCCCAGCGGATCCCGGGGCTGAGGGAGCCTGAAGGATGGGTAGGCAGGGGAAGAGGAGGGGGCTTAGTGCCAGGTAGAGAGAACGAATCTGCCAAGGAGGTGGGCAGGGCCAGGCCACGGAAGAAGCTGTGTGAAGACAGCGAGGCTTCCTTTTGAGAAGATGGGGACCCAGGGAAGGGATTCAGGCGGGGACCGGCCTGAGCAGGTTTGTTCCTCAGAGACCCGGGTGGCAGCGCAGGGAGACTGGGCAGAGCTGGGAGCTTCGGGGGGCAGAGCCGGTGACCCAGGTGAAGGCGATGGTGGCTGGTGCTCCAGGGGGTGAGCATGGAGGACGGAAGGAGGCGGAATGGAGGAAACCCGCTCAGCTTTCCTCTTCCTCAGGAGGCAGCACAGGCGACAGAGTGACATCTCTGGAAGCCAAGCTGGAGAAACAGCAGCTGGAGCTGAGAGCAGGTCTGAGACCCCCCCTTGGTGTGTGGTGTGTGAGTGTGTGTGTACTTGTGGGGTGTGGTGTGAGTGATGTGTGTGTTGTTGTGTGTATGAATGTGAGTGTGTGTGTGAGTGTATGTGTGGGGTCCAGTGAGTGTGTGTTGTGCATATGAGTGTGAGTGTGAGTGTGAGTGTGTGAGTGTATGTGTGTGAGTGTATGTGTGGGGTGCAGTGAGTGTGTGTTGTGCATATGAGTGTGAGTGTGAGTGTGAGTGTGTGAGTGTATGTGTGTGAGTGTATGTGTGGGGTGCAGTGAGTGTGTGTTGTTGTGCGACCTCCTAAAGCCCTTCTCATCAGTGGAAAGGTTTCTCAGTATCAGCAAACGGACCTCAGAACTGCAGGGAGCACAGCGGCATCTCCTTCAGAACAACCTGGGATATCGGGTGTCGCGTGGAGCCGGTAACTTTCCACTGTGGGCGGCGGCCACGCTCTCCTCCGGCGGCGCCCGCCCAGCAGCGGACCTGGTTCAGCATTTCTTTCCACTGCGGGCCGAGGCCAGGGCGTCGTTGTGTGTATGAATGTGAGTGTGTGTGTGAGTGTACGTGTGGGGTGCAGTGAGTGTGTGCTGTGCGTATGAGTGTGAGTGTGTGTGTGTCCTGTGTGGGGCACTGGTAGATGGGGCGCCCACACTGCCCACACCCGGGCCTATTGCTCCGTCCCCTAGATCACACCACCTTGCTCTTTCACCTGAAGCACTTCCCAGCCGACGTGCGCATCCTGTCCTGTCAGATGGCCTTCCTGCGAAGCAACGGTAGGGAAGGGAGCCTCCAGGCCCAGTGCTCCTGCCCTTCCAGCGGGACCTCACCTCTCTGCCCCCTCCTGTCCTGCAGGCACGGAATGCTGCCCGGTTAACTGGCTGGAGTATGAAGGCAGCTGCTACTGGTTTTCTCGCTCTGGACTGACCTGGCCCGAGGCTGAGAAGTACTGCCAGCTGGAGAACGCCCACCTGGTCGTCATCAACTCCAGAGAGGAGCAGGTGAGGCCGCACCTCCCCAGCAGGAGGCGCCTCTGGAATGCGAACCCTGGGTGGCTGGATCGGCGCTTTATTATTATTATAAAAATACTAGAGGCCCAGTGCATGAAATTCATGCACTTGGGGGGGACACCCCTCAGCCCAGCCTGCGCCCTCTCGCAGTCCAGGAGCCCTTAGGGGATGTCGGACTGATGGCTTAAGTGCATCAGGGAGCGGGCCTAAGCCGTCAGTAGGACATCCACTGAGGGCTCCCAGACTGTGAGATGGGGCAGGCTGGGCTGAGGGACCCCCACCCCCCAGTGCATGAATTTCGTGCACCAGGCCTCTAGTACATATATAAG